TATTTTACCAAAAAGTTTTTTCTATTTAAGTTAGGGTTAAATTAACTAAAATTATTTATTATGCTTCATAAACTCCATAAATAAATTAACTGTACTAACTCATTGGTGTTGGTGCTTATTTTTCAATCTAACAGGGATCGACTAAACAAAAGCCCTCCAAATTCTCCACCTGCCTATCGTCGAGCAATCAGTCGCGATGAAAATGTTTTTTCTCGACTTACATCTAGTACCACCCAACCTATTGAACAACAGCGGTCTAAAGGTGTAATACAACCATACCAAGGAAAAGTAAGTAATGATTTTAGTAAAACCGTGTATACATCTTAGAATTGTCTTTATTTTAATTTTAGACTTCATTGAAAACTCCTTTGGTATGTACACATATCACAGAAGGTCATTCTAGAGCAGTTCTTGCGGTTTATGCTACTGATGACATGCTGTTTAGTGCCTCAAAAGGTTAATATTTTAAATTATTTATGCAGATCATTATTATACAGTTAAAATTTATTTTATTTTTATTAGATAAGACTGTAAAAATTTGGGATCTTAACAGTGGTAAAGAAATTCAAACACTAGCCGGCCATCCAAATAGTGTTGTTGCGATAAAATATGATGAATATGCACAGCTCGTATTTAGTGTAACTTCTTCATATGTAAGAGTTTGGGACATGCGGTTATCTAAATGCATTAAGACACTCAGGTACTAATGTAGTATTAGTAAACACTAAATAGTATACTAAAAATTAGCAAAATATGTTCACAGATCAACTGTTGCTTGTGAAAGTTTTTAATATTATAGTCTGTAGATGTTCTAGTTAATATAACGTAATATACAGGGTTCGGGACCTATATCATTTGGATATCCATCATTGATGTAGTAAAAAGTAGCAAAGTGGTATACAAATATGTTTCAAAGTACAGAGAATTTAAATACAAAGTTTTATTTTGCATATTTTAGAGATAATTGCATATATTAAAATTGTTTACTAAATTTGACACTTATTTAACAATTTTTAACAACTACCACTATTATTCACAAATCATGATCATGAATTCATGGATAATAGTTGATTATATTGAGTAGGTCATTTTTTTTAAGTACTTGTTTTTAAATTTTTTTGGTTTTTAGAGTATATATTAAAGTGCATATTTTAATGTTTTTATGTGCTATAAGTCCTGAACCTTGGTTATATATACCGTGTGTCCACAAAAACTGGGTACACTCTTTAACTCAGTTACCTACATTATTCAGTATTCTAGAATTCTGTCTATGAGAGATTGATGATCCAATAGTCTAGTTACATGTCCCGCAAACAGAATTCAAGAATATGTTTAGGGTACTGAGTAATTTGGTAATTTAATTATACAGTGTAACCTGTTTTTGCGAAATAACGGTATTTTAAAAATATTTATAAAATACACAATGTTTTGCCTCTACAATTTTTTATTGAGCAATCAATAGAAAGCATTTTACTTGTATAAAGGTTATTTGTTTTTAGTAAAAAAAAATAATTTTTTCTTCTCTATCATTTTTGAATAAAACATTTTATCGTGAAACAAATAGAAGACGGGATATTTATGAAAAGGTCTAGTAAAGGTGTATGCAAACATTAAGTTTCTTTTTCTTAGTTGGAGTTTATTTTTCATCTTTTTGACTGGGATTAATAGGTATATAAATTGAATTAAAAATGATTATACCTCCAACTATGTATTTTGATTTTTGTCATTTGACCACTTATGAAAAAAATTTCTTCTGTACTATAATAGAGTGTCTAAACTAATTGTAAATGTAATGTTATAGCTCATCTGGTATTGTAAACAATGGATCAGTAATGTCATCACAAATCCCAGTTGGAGAAATTTTGTTGAATGATATTGCACTAAATAATTATGGACGAACATTGTATATGGCATCTGGTGACAAAGTGAAAATTTGGGATATGAGAAAGTAATTTTATTTGTACAATTTGTTTGAGAAGTTGAATCTAATTATCCATTTTGGTTTAAGGTTTACTGTTCGAGGAAAATTGAGTAGTGGTCATACAGCTGCTGTTATGTGTTTAGCAGTAGGTCGTTTTGACAACAAAGATATTATAGTTACTGGATCTAAAGACCATTACATAAAAATGTTTGAAGTCGATGAGGAAGCTGTTGGAACGTATAATCCTACAGTTAATCTAGAACCCCCTCATTATGACGGAATACAAACCCTTGCAATTCATAATGAAATACTATTTTCTGGTTCAAGAGATTATGCTATTAAAAAATGGGACCTGGAGAAACAAGAATTAGTTACTGTTAGTAATTTTTCCACCATTGTTATTGTTATTATTTATTAGTAAATTAATTAATAACCTTTATCTTATTCAGTCTATAAATAATGCTCACAAAGATTGGATCTGTGGATTGGCTGTTGTTCCTGATCATCCAATACTATTGAGTGTGTGTCGTAGCGGATCTTTGAAAATGTGGTCAGAATCAACTTGCTCACTTCTCGGAGAGATGAAAGCACACGATTCTCCAATTAATGCTATTGCGACAAATTCTACTCATGTCTTTACTGCAGCTCAGTATGTGTTAATTCTCATTATATTAGTGTATACATATGTAGCGGTGGTATGGTGGAGGGACAGTTTTGCATGTGGTGTGTGTATGCGATGATTTCAGCCGTGGAGAAGTGAAGATGTGGCGAGTGGCTCAAAATATCTCGTTTCCATCGACCATGACAATGTCAACAGGACGTATGTTCAACCTGGACATGTGAATATTTTAACTATTGAAAACATTATGTATGGGTTCATCTATATACTCGGTTATAACATTATTTTATAGTTATTTATTTTTTTATTTTTATTATTTATTTATTTATTTTATTTGCTCAACAATTTATTAATATGTTTTAATTATTATTAGGTTAAAATGTACTTGAGTAGTTAGTTTTTGCACTTTCTGAATATTATTATTATTTTGCATGAACGCATAATTATTTTATTTATTATTTTTGTTATTGTTTAATTATTTAATATTTATTTATTGTTTAACATTTTTTTAGCTGTAAAATTGTATTTTGTTAACCCAATTTAGGGTTAGCCATAAATGTTTGTTTATTTATTATTATTTTCTTTGTTATCAAATATTCATATTTTATTTTTAATTTATCTAACTTTGGTGGTGGAAGATCAAAAATATATACGGTTATAATGTGTAAATATTCTTTAAAAAAAATGTATGACTAATTGGTTTTTTAAAAGGATTTAAGTAAATAGGTGATTGATAATTAAAATATAATTTTAGGCTCGTCACACCACTGATAAGCATTGTTGTTATTTGAGGTAATTTTTACCTACCTACACCTAACCACCTGTGTTCACACGTCTTTTACGTACTTAATATTTGCAGTAGTTCTATTAATAAATCAAAACTATCAATTTACAATCTTTTTTAGACTTTAAAATACAATAATTCTTATTTTGGATTCTTTTTAATATTAAAATATTGTATTATGAATACTTTTTTTATTTGGCTACAAATTATTGGTGTAGTTATCTACTCATGTTAATCGTCAATAAATGTGTACTAATAGCGTTAATAGTAGTTGGCTTGATTATTAGTGTATGTTAATTTTTTGCTTATTCTAGATAAATGGCTACATTTACAAAAATATATATAATATAATGAAAATACTTGCATATATATTTTGTATATAAGTATTGAAATCGTTTTGTAAACTTAGTTGTTGATCTAAAATAAAATAAAAATTATAATCCTTTTTTATATTAAAAGTGGTCCAAGTCCACTTATAAATTTTAATGTTGAAAGTTTGCATTTTCATTGTTTGTAAGACACTGCTAACATATATGTTAATATTGTGTCATGCTCTAACCCACCCCCGGTAAAATTATAATTCTAAAGAAATAATTGTATCAATAAATCTACCCATTAAATGTGATAATAGATTAAAATAATTGATGTATATGTATTTACTATATAATATATTGTAATTTTGTTTAAAAAATCTTTCATCCATTATACATATTGCATGATGCTTTGCATGTTTTGTGTGTTAGTTATTTGGTGTATTGAACTTAGTTGTAACAAGTCATTATTTGATATTTACAGTGATGGAACAGTGAAGTTATGGCGTGTTAAATATCGCTTAGACGTGATGGCTTGACGGACAATCATTTGCATTGCAACAATTCTCCAGTACATCGGTATACTTGTGTTGACCATGATCGTATTGATTAGCCACCTGATATCTTCGGTGCATGCCATATTCTGCCATAAACCGAAGCAAACAAAATCTATATTATAATCTGTGATATTTACTTATTTTGAGAATCTCTTTCTGCTGAACTGGTATTTCAGTGTTCCTTACAAATTGGTTCCAAAGATGCATATTTTTTAACAACCTATTTACTATGGGTAGGGTATTATTTTTTATTATTTTGAACACAATAAGCGATCGACTATTAATTGCATGCTTATATTTAGGAAATGAAAATGCTCAATATTTATCAAATAACCATCTAGTATTATTATTATGGTATTTGGTACTGATTATTACTTACAATTTTTTATTTAATAATTTTTTGTGCATTGATCACGTTAAATAATTTATTTTTCATAGAATATAATATGTTAATTAATCAATTTTAAAAATCAAAACAAAATGTTGTTTATTTTTATTATTTATTTAAAAAAAGACCTGATCAAAACAATGTTAATTATAGTAAAATATATTTATAAATAAAATAATGTACTACAAATGTTTATTTGATTATTTTAAAACATATTTAATATTTTGGAATAATTATTGCATAAGTGAATAAAATATACAATAAAATAATAGGGAAAAACAACTATTAGTTACTAATAAATAAATTTACAAAAAAAAATAAATAATAATTTACTATTATAAGATAAAGGCCTATATTAGTTAATTGTTTTATAATTAAAAAATATCACAGAAACTAGCAATAAATAATAGCATTGAAGTGTTAACTGACATTTTGAGTGACAAATACATGGCCAAAGTTATTATATGAGTATGTACGGTTCAGAATTAATTCCTTTAGTTTAATACCCGATATAACCTAAAATAAAAAAAAAAGATTATGAATAAATATTTTTTAATTTTATTTATTAGTAAAATTATACTTGTAAGCCATGATTTAGAGCTACCATCGAGAATACTGTTTTGATTGTTGCGTATGGAGGTAAAAGTCTTAACTGAATGCCTGAAATCATAGTCCAAGCAAGATTACTATCTTCTTCGTCACTGACTTCAACAACAAGCTGCATGTCACGGTTTCTGAAAAAAATATGCGTAAATCATCCAAAAATAAGTTACAAGGCAATTTTTGTTTATACAATAAAAAATCATTGATTCAATTTATTTCTCTATTTTAATATTAATCCGACAATATTGTATTTCATAAATTGTTCATATTCTATTAAATCTGTTAATTCGAGTAAATATTTTATAATAACTATAAGTTACTAAAAAATAATTGACACTTGTTACCAGTAGCGTACCCAGGATTTTTCAATGGGAGGAGGGGGCTAAACAAAGTAAATCAGAATTTGTATATTAGGTTGTTATTACTATATACCGTAACCGTAATAACCTCTACAAATAATTCTAACCGAATTAGAAATATCATGGTTTGTAATTTACTTTTTATCATATTAGATTTATATCATAACGCGGCCAATGAGAGGGGGGCTGAAGCCCCTTTAGCCCCCCCTGGGTACACTACTGTTTGTTACATAAAATATTTCAGTACAATAACATAAAACTATATTATGTTAGCTGATATCCATATTGATAACAGTGTTGCTGAATAAATAGCTATTTAAAATGTCAAATGTTTGTTAATTCACTAAAAGCTATATTTTGTTAATGAAAGACAATTTTTGTACATTATACTAATTTATTAGTACAAATTACTTCTCAATTATCATGTTTAATTCTGTTAACAATATAATACTTAAATTTTTGAAATTATATTAGTTTCAAATTACCTGTTGTTTTTTATTGAGCACGTAAAGTCAAATTGTTCTTCACAAAAAACCATATCAGGCAAGTACGTTATAGAAAACGTTATGTCGTCTAATTCTGGAATCTACAAACATATAAGGACTAATTACATTTTTAACTATTAATTTACTTCAATCAGAGTATATTTTAATTTGATGGTTATTTCTTACAGACTATATTCAATTTAATTATCCATATATAAACCCAATTATAATTTTCCAATAATTAGTAATTACCTGTCTCACTAATGGACTGGATTGTATTTGACCTTTAGTACCCATATTAGACCGCCATAAAATGTCCAACTTGCCAAGATTATTTGTTCTTGTGGGATTTTTTTCAGCAGTTCTATCTAAGCTTAATCTATACATATACTGTCTTGTTTCTTTCACATCCAGTATGTCCATATCTCCAAAAACAGATTTATCCTCTGAACTTTCAAGTAAATGATTCATTGAATTAACTGTGATAAAAAAAAAAATGCACTGTTAAATATTTTTATCAAAAGTAATAAAAATAATATCAAAACTTCAAACTACCATCATATCCAATTGATGACTCTAAGATAAATTTTTCTAATGAGATCGGAGTCGACATAATATTTTGGACTTGAACTTCTAGGTAAACTTCATCAGTCTAAAATGAGTATAATAATATAAATCTAAGTTAAGTATTAACTTTAAATTATATACATTTATTATTTATTAAAATATGTCAACTAAGATGCTTACTACAGTATTGTAAAATTTTGTTTTTAGATCTAAAGGTTTTGGAACTCTATAGCTGAAAATTGTTTCAAACGAATGTTTCCTATCATATTCCACTTGACAAATCAATTTACTAAAAAAACTTATATTATATATACAAATTAAATTTTAAATTAATTTTAGCACAATTCATACTTGACACTACCGTGTTCTTTGACTTCGTGCTTTACAATAACATCAATAGAAGCATATGGATCCAACTTGGGAAAAGCTTTTGGTCCCAAAATTGGTATATGTGATGTCGCAGTATCAATTTCTGCTTTCAAAATAATATCATAGACCGTTTGAGAACTTTCATTCTTCAAGTAAATATAACACAAAAATGTTTCGCCCAGATACAAATTTCTAGAAAACATTAATACATTTATTAATTGATTAATTGTCAAACTTTTCAAAACTTACTTACTCTAGAACATTAGGAACCATGAGAAATGACCCAGCCGCCAATGTTTCTGCATTGGCCAATGTGGTCACGTCTTTTTTTAAATGTGCATTCAATGCTGTTCCTGGTAAATCTTTTGAATCACACGTGACTATCTTCGAGTTAAACATGACTGGCTTACCAAGGCGCATTACTAAAGATCAAATATAAAACAAATGTTCACACAATTTGCTTGAAAGTGCTTTGTCATAAATGTTTATTGTACCTCTCAATTTGATGGGGTGCTCGACCACTTCCTTTACTTCTATTGAAGTCATGCTGAAGTAAAATTATTATTTCTACGGAAACACCTAACGCAGGTAATTACTGATACGTGGGAACGGTATGTCTTGGCAAACGTAAAGAATTATTTAATTGTTAACAATGACGTTTAGTGACTATGACTTAAGTCGAAAACCGTAGGTAGCAAGTAGTAAGTACCCATACAAGCAAACACATCAAAAATCCAACACAAATAATAATTATTAACTAATAATAGAAGACATGTTTAACCACAGAACGATAATGTCTAATTAGTAATTAATAAATAATAATAAAACCACGGATTGAGTGGGTACAGTCCACAATATAATATACTACGATACTATTGTTCTATGGTCATAGACAACCGTAACGCATCGACATACATAAACTATACCTATGAATACACTACTGATAGTACTATCTTAAATCAAGGTAAGTACAACAAGTAACAACTACCGACCAATATAAATATTAATTATTATTTATTCATTTTTAGTTTATGATATGTGTTAAACCAGGGGTACGACACTCCGTGAATTGGTCGGATCGGGCGATTGTGGCCTTGAAAATGGTCTCTAGAGGGGCGTGGCATACGTTACAGTAAACAGTGGAAACAATTTTTCTATGCTGGAAACAACCCGACCCCGCGCAGAATACCCTGCCTATTAAGCGGAAACGGTTTTTCAATACGGGTATAACATCATGTTGATAAACGGAAACAGTTTGAATGTTCGGACTTCAGATCATAGGTAAACACTTCACCCATCAGCTGATCGAGTGTCGCTTCTATATTGTTCTATGGTTAAACGTTATCAATGTGTCACTGTGTCAGAGTGAAATGTAATAATTCCAAATGTTTTATTTCGTTTAAAAATCGTCTACATTTTGACACACACAATTAATGTACAATGAGTATAACGATGTATTCGACAATTTTAAGTAAAAAGTTCTTGTCCGGTTCACTCTTACACGACCTAAGTAGATCGCAGAACGTTGACGCGATCAGTGCGTTGAGTTCTATCGGTGCCAAATTGTTCAGCCACAACACGACTAGCATTGGAGTTCAACCACAACAACAGACGTTTCTGCGTCCTGGATCCAACAGAATCACCTGCCCGATGTCGATCGACATCCACCGACACTATTGCAACAAAAACTATAGGCCGTTCCCTGAAGTTCCAGAATTTCCTCCAATCGTTTGGCCCAACGTTTTTAAGTCATTCAAAGCTCTGCTATATTCATATCTAATAATTAAACCACAACTAGACAAAGATTTCAGTCTCGGAGAGTTTTCCAAAAACTCTAGAAAGGTGTGTTCTGCTATTATAGATTTTTGTAATTGCATTTATTTATTTTTAATTTATTACATTTTAAATAGGCAATGCCCAATTATAATTTATTATTTATAATATATAGTAACTATAGTGTATGACTATAGTATTTAAAAAAATACATTGAATTATTATACAAACTTAATTAATTAATAACAAAAAAACGGTAGAGAACTAATTAAAATACCTAGGTATACCAATTTCACAAATAATAAGTAATAATAACAATAGACGGTTACATTAATGAAAAGTATATAAATTAATCAACTAACTAAAATGTAATTAAAATATTTAGGTAAAAATTTAATGAATCATTAGAGTTATTAGAAAACAAATTTATGTTAAAATTATGTATTAGCTGGCAGCTGCATCAATATATAATATTTAACTATAATTTTAACGCTGGAAGGGCATGTTAAAAGTGGTCTCGATTGTCTGGTTGTACAAATAGAATCATAGATGTTTAATGTGGCAAATAATTCTAGGAAGTTAATATAGCAAAACCTCTCCTAACAATTCACCTCAAAATAGTGTATGTTTTTTTGGGAACTAACTACAAATTGAATCCTCTGCATAGCTAACAAATTTCAGTGTCCGGTATTTAGATATTTTACTATATATATATTATTATTTTATTAATTTAAAAATAAATCATAAATTTTTTATTTTATTTTTTTTTTTATCTAACGATTCAAGTCTTTAAAAAATAAGAATGATTATTTATGCTCATATTACAAATGAGATACACTTTCGAGACCACATATGAACTATTCGTAGAAATTGGTTTTGCATTGATTGAATTGTGCTTATAGTACAAACTAGGTATTAGTAATAGTACAACTGTACTAATAATTATTATATATTAGTACAACTGTTTGTGGTGATCACAAAATAGAACAATATGATGTTATTTGTTTGTTTTTGCAGGCTGTTGAGGTAGTGTCCAATTGCATTTCCAAACGAGACTTTACCACACTACAGGGGCTGGTCACCAACGATGTGCTGGAACAGGTGAAATTGATCGTTTCAGATCTCAGTGACAATGAAATCAAAGACATGGCATTCGATAACGATGACATGTATTTATTTTTACCAGTACAGTTGGATATTATTAATGACGCAAAACGTGAGTATGCCTATTGCAATTGGACTAAATTATTTATGCTATTCAAATGAGATCATATTATTTTATTGACAAATTTTAATTTTCTAGTTAAAGACCGGCGATTTGTTGAAATAACAATGTGCTACCACGCTATTCACAATTTAGAAGAGATCAAAAAAAGATCTGAAGAAATTGTAGATATACAAAAAGAATTAAAGAGTAATATATTTGTGTTGAACTATAGGTTTATTAGAGAATATACAGAAGGGGTAAAAGATGCATGGACTATAAATGCAATCAATCATTTAAAAGCCGAAGAACACGATAAAACAATTTTGTAAATGGAATTATACCATATTCATGTAACTAAGTACCTTTAAATTTAGATGTCATACTATATAAAGTTTAATAATTAAATAATTTTTATTAACATGTTGCCATCTCATGTATTATACCCAAATCCTATATTTATTTAATCTACTAACCATTTGAAGCCATAATGAAATTATGTTTGTTTTTAAATACCACTAGTGACATTTTATCACAAACTTTAGACAATCATTACCGGGACAGACTGGGCCGGTGGGATACTGGGAACTTTCCTGATGGGCCGCTACTTAAAAATAATTTGCTATGAATATATATTTATAATAAAATCGGTATAAATATAAAAAAGTTTTGAAAATTCCCCCCCCCCTTGTGTGACTTCTGAATCCTCAACTGGTCTGCCCCTGAAATCATACTTATAGTTTCTTTGTGTGGATTTGTAATTGTTTTTACATTTTAAAATACAATGGGTATTATTTAAATACAAAAATTACTAGGGTTAAGTTTAGGTTTTAGTCTTTATTTTTGAAATGAATTGATAATACTTGTAGTTAAATGTTTTTTTTTTTTAAACTGACTAAAAATTATTTGCATAAGAATGTATAACTTTAATTTTTAATGAAACTATGAAAGTATTTCAAAAATCTCTATTCAATAAAAATAACTCTTGACACATTCATATTGTGATGTTATGTTTAATATATTACATTGATGCAACGACACCAGTACGTATACTTTGAACAAGATTACAAAAAAAAGGAATTAAAGCACTATTTTTATGGGAAATGTAACACGGTTAGTACATGTGAAGGCCAAGCGAAATGAGTGTTTCTTTAACGAATAATGTCTAAGAGACAGTGGCAGCTATCTCGACAAATATAACAGCCAACAGGTGCTCACTTAAAATTAACTAGTGTCTACCCCCTACCAGTATTTCGGGTAACATAAAAAAATTACTCATTTCACAAAAAACTATTTAACCTACTAACATTTAAAGTTTATTTTAAAGACAAAATAGTTATAGCCCACCCACCCCAATTATGAAAGGGGTGCTTGAGCACCTTTTCAGATACGTGATAGTCGCCACTGCTATGAGAGGTCGGAAAACTGAGCAAAACGAGTCTTGGAAGCAGAGCCCTTAGTATATAATAATACTATTAATTATCAAATACTTTCAAAAAATTATTTATTAATTATACATTACATTTTGATAACTACAGTATATTTATTTATTTTTGGATAAATGTTAATAAAATGTCTTGAAATCACTGTATACCTACTCAATATATCACACTAGACTGTATACTGAACTGCTATGTATTAAAATTAACATTTAGACAAGCTTTTTTAGTAATGAGAGTAGTAGCAAAATTTTTATTATTTTTATTTTAATTATATAGATTATGATCATAGCAGCGAACACTCATTATTACAAATAGTTTTAGATTACGAGCGAAGTGATTTATGAATTGGTTTTATAATTTGTGTGTCTGAAGACACTTTTTCTGTTAATTATTATATATTTATATATTATATTTGTGTGTAATTACACTTAGTTTAATACAACACCGATCAGTTTAATAATTTGTCTTTGACACATGTCTAGTCTAAATATGTATTAGTAATATGAACTTATCGAGAGTTTAATATGTATTAAATTATTTATAATGTGCTAGATACTAAATATAACATTAAAAAATTTCTGAGGACAAAATGTTCTAAGGTATTTTCTTCTTTCTTATTTTTAGTCCATTTTTTAAAACAAATCAATTTCAAACATTTATATTTGTTATAACTTATAACCATTGATTAAAAGTACTAGTACTAGTAATATTTTATAATCAATGCTCATTGTAAACTCTTTTGCAGTTTCTAGTTGTAACAGATACTTCATAGAAATCAAATATTACTCTTTTTAAACTATTTTTCCATAATATATTATATAATTAAAAGTAAATTTATTTTCAAAACATATTTTAACTAGCAAATGGAATCATGAAACAACTTAGTACTTACTATAGCCATTGTGGCAGTAACTAATCGTAACAACCTTATTATGAAATTTTACTTAATTACTGTAATATTATGGCAGTCCTCAGTGCGTCGGGGGGCCAAACATTCAGTAGGTATGATTTAACTTCATGATGTAGTAAGATGAGAACAGTCGTTGTTAATAAAATATTAAACTGTTTAAAAAGCTGAGGCCAACCCCCGTGAAAACAACCCTGTGTAAGTATTGCAAGAAATATTATTACGTTAAAAGTTAAATTAATATCATAGTTGGTATAAAAGTCTAGTTCATAAACACATGAAATAATTAAATTTTAAATGTTTATTAAAATATGTTGAAAATAAAAATTAATAAATTCTATATTTAACATTCGTAATCATGCAACTGATATTAGGTACCATTAAAAACTGTGGGAAAATGTTTTAATAATATAATATGTGTTAGTAAGCTTTGCATTAAATAACCTTGCCTATATTTTGAGTAATTTACAAATTTACTATGAATAAATTTGACCTTTAGAGTTTAGAGTAACATTATTTAAGCGTTTAGAGTTGTAGACACCATTATAAACTAATCAAGTGATTCTATGATTTTATTAAACAAATAACAAATTATTTCAAGATCACTTCAAGTTCAATTAAATATTTGTATGTGCGTTAATTTTAATAGAATTGAAAAAATAAATCGCAACCTCAATGAAAACAACTACGAGAATATTTCAAGACAAATATGTATGAAAGTAAAAAAGGTTGTTATTTTTTTTTAATCTTTTACAGTTAAATTGTAAAAATAATATTGGCTATTTGTTATTACACTTAAACCAAAATTATATCATCTGAAAAAGAATTATTAGTTAAATATGTGACAGTAATTAAATAATTTAATTTAAGGACATGGAGTTAACAATTAATTAATAAAACATCAAATTTAAAAAAAAATTTATTGACATGGTATTTACCATAAAATTTCCTTGATTCTGATAACAAATTGTTACAAGTAAAATTTAACATATTTATGAATTACAACATTTATTTTTCAAACAAAAAATACTGAACAAAATAAGTGTAAATGTCCATTCTTTGAATTAGAGCTATAACAAAATATTATGTATCAATTTTGTTTAGTTTCAATTGACAAAAGTTTTTTTTTTTAAATATAAATAATTTTTACAATGTAAATAAATAATTAGTTAAAAAGTATACAGCTGTAACATGACCCAAAATAATATAAAAATATTGAAACTAAACTACCTAACTAAAAAATATTACAAACTAAATTCATGGTTGTTTTAGTTAATTGTGAGGAACACTAAAACAAAGTTAAAACTAATTTCAAGTCAAATACATATTATGTATAATAAATCGTATAAAGTTCACATTCCGTCAAAATAAAAAAAATAATCCATAATGGAATATTATTTTATATATTATGTATGCATAAAATTAATATAATGGAAGATCGTTAAAAATGATTCGTGTTACAACTTAATTTAATCTTAATGCCAGGCGAGTAATTGAGTGAAATTCATTTCAGAAGTATTTTGTGGACTTTTGTAAAGTTACACAGGCGAACTGCATATGTTTAAGGAGTACAAGTTATTATTATTTTAATATGTCCAGACATCTGGTAACAAATACATCTGAAATGATCAATAATAATACATGTTAAGGTCCATGAATATGAGGTGTAGAGCAGTTGTTATGTTCATGCTCGAATTCTTTATGGGTATGTCCACCTGTAATTGAAAATGATTTTAATATTTGATGAATTAAGAAAAGTTAAATTTATCTTTCATTTACCAAAAATTTCTAACATAACCATAAAAAAAAATCCAATCATAGTTAACAGTAACTTGAGCAAACCAGGCGCTGTGTCCTTTTTTCTTTCTCGATCTAGTACTTCAAAAAATGTAACATATAGGATTGTACCAGCAGCTAAGCCTTGTAAAGTTGCATTTCCAATTGTATGATAATTCTGGTCCAAATCATATGTATTTAATGTTAATAACAATCCCAACAATATACCTAAAATGTATTATTAGAGGTATTTTAAAAATTTAATTAATTTAAATGTGTTTGAAATAATATGTTAAGATAATAGGTATACATAGAACATAGGCGGCACTTGGTAGAAACTTATGTGGGTGCAAACGTTTATGGTAATAACATTCACAAATCCATAGGGAAGTTGCCCCCCAGTACCCCCTAATATATAACTATTGATACAACAAATGTAGTTAAAAAAATGTCTTTATTAATAACTATTCCAATTGGGTCCCTGTATTTCAAATATGTACATGAATATGTAAAAATATTATTAAAAAACAACTTTTTATTTTGACATAAATAATAGGTAATTAAAAAAAAAAAATTAACTGTGTGTAACATAATTACTAGGTATTTGTCAACTTCACTACTTCAGTGTCAAACGACGACCTCTTATTGAAGCCTCAGCATCAAACTTGTCAATTATATTATCAAAATCTATAAGGTATTCTTTTTGTATACATAAGATTGCTAAACTGCTCAATCGCTCTTGACTCATTGTGACTCTTAAGTATGTATTTAATGTCCGTAGAGCTGAGAAACTGCGTTCATTAGATGCAGTATTTGTAGGAATAGTTAAAAAAATTTTTAATATATTTGTATAATTTGGGAATCCTGTCTGAATATCTTTAGATCTAATATGATTTATCTTTTTTATAATTGTATCACATTCATGAATCATGATTTATAAATAATCTATTTACTATTTTTATCTCGCTTGATAAATCATTTGATTCTATTTTGTATGCATTACAAACTTCCCCTATTGACTGATTAGTAGGGTTTTTATTAAATAAGACATTATTCATAGAATTCAACAAACTTAAATAATTTTCTTTAAATTTACTCTTCATGCACATCATTACTGTATCTATAATTCCAAAAAATACATTTATACGAAAATGATCTTGAACAGTCTGTATAGTTTGTTTTTTGCCACCACCTAATTTTACTGAGTCGTATTCATACTGTACTGATTTAATGCGTGGTAGGTTAGACTCACTAAAACCATTATTTTTTGAAACAATAGTAGCCTTTTCCCATACTTTCTGAAAATTGTCATCTGTTCTCAATTCTTCAAAACTTCCTATAGCTTAATTAGCTTACTGCATTATTTAATTATTATTATTAGTATTTTAACATTTAATCACGGACTAAGATTTTAGTCCATCTCCATATAATTAATTAATTATTTAATTAACTAATTAATTGAGTAATCAGATATAAAATATTGAAATGATCCATGGTTATTTTTTAATATCAAAATTACATTATATCAGTATAATTGTTAACAATAAAATAATTAAAATATTTTTTACTGTTGTGATTGTCTGTGTATGGATGCAAAATGATACTTTTGCCCCCCCAGAAAAATTGTTGTGGGTGCAACTGCACCCTCATGCCCCCCCCCCCTAGTTGCCGCCTATGACATAGAATGTGTTAATATTAGGAATAACTAGGTACTTCATTTTCAAGCCAATTTTATAGTTTTTTACATAATCAATAACTATTATAAATAATTACAATGCTAAATAAATTGGGAGTCAAGATATTACCATAATTGTTTAAAAGGACACTATACAAGCATGCGTTCTCTACGTCTTACAAATGTACAACCTAGCAAAACACTGTTTTATGCTTTATAGAACCACTCTCTCGGTATTTATAGTAGAATTACCAAAATTCCACAACGCATAAGGAACAACTTTAACTGTGTCGTAGAGTTTTTATTATATGGATAACATAAATAAAATTAAAGTTATCAGTTTGAGAACATTAGGATTTTTTTTCATTTAATTATAAAAAATTATTGGTAAAGGCTATCAAAAAAATAAAAAGGCTACGACACAGATAAAGTTATGGTATTTTGGTAATTCTACTATAAATATCGAGGGAGTGGTTCTATCTCGCGCAAAATTTTTTTGCTATGTTGTACATTTGTAAGACGGAGATAACGCATGCGGGTATAGCGTCCTCAAGATGCATCAATATTTAATATAATATTCATCTATCCTATGAGCAATATATTTAAGAATATTGCTCCATATTTAAATCAGCGGGATTCAGATTAAAACAAGAGTAAAATCACCAATCGTCAAATAAAAAATGGTTTGCAATCGTACTTTGATTTATTTTTTATTTTTAATGCAAGATATGAAAATGTATGCTATAAGTATTAACTGTACGTACTTTAAAACTTAAGAATCAAAAGTTAGTGACATAAGAGATACTAACTTATCTTCTTTTAATTTGAGTATAGGTGAATTTTACTCTAATTTTTAATAAAGATCACTCTGATGAAAAGAGAGAGCAAGGATTTTATTTATGTATTGCATATTGAAGAAATGGAGATTGTAGATATAAATTGGTGTAACAATCACTAATGTTAAAATATAAATTAATGATTTTTTCTTAAGCTTATGGTTTTTAATATACATATATATATAATGTGAAGTAACCACCACCTAATAAAATTTCATCTTAAACGTTAGTAATTAATTTGAGATTAAACTTGAATAAAGAAATCAAGAATAATTATAAAACATAATACATACTATTTACAAGGTCATACAAAATCAATTACATAAAATATTACCGAATAAATATATATTTAGAAAGTTATTTAATCCACTAACCAGCATGAATACAAATTTATTTTATGATGTAATTGTTATTATTTAGCAAAAATGAAATCGCAATAAATGTTTATTAATATACATAATATATACAGATATCAGTCTTAATTTTTTTTAACATTGTTTAGAACTTTTTATTTTATAATTTGGACATCAACTAAAAACAGCATATTATAATTTGTAATTAGATTATACATGAAGAATGTTACTAATTTTGTTTGATGTTTTCTATCTACCTACTTAATTTTATATAAATAACAATAAGGTATTCCAAATAAATATGTTATAAATTATATTTTTAAATACTAAATTAAAAATTTACTATACTCTCATTTTTAATTTTATAAAGGAATACTAAAGTCCAAAGAATTGAAACCTAGACACATAGTAGGTATGGAAATGTTATGTTCAATTTGTCATCTAAGCACAGTTAAGTATGCAATTTTTTTAATTAATAATAAACAAACAAAATGTAAAATATTTATTTATAAATTAACCTAGGGTGGCCAAATTAGATTTTAAGAAATCTGGGGCACCAAAATTGAATTGTTCTCATGAAAAATAGGTAATTAAGTATCTATATTTATATTTTTATTTATTAAACCAGTAACGTCCCAGTAAATGATGGAACGGCCATCCAAAATTAACCCGACGAAATTTCAATGAAAATTCTTTACGACAAATACCGGTAAGTAAAAAATACTATACAATTCAAAACAATACTATAAAACAAATTTATGTCATAACATATGTCAATTTATAGTCATAATTCATAAGTAATATACTAATATAACATGGTTAATGCCTTTGGACTATTTTAATTGTAAGCCTGTCATAAGACAATAATCCTTGTTTTGGTGGCTTTAGCTTTAATGATTATGATGATAATCAATTAAAATGATAAGTCCAGATTTTATACTAAAATATTTAGTATAGCTTTAAGTAAAATCAAAAACTACTAGTTAAATAAAAAATTTAAATAAATAAAACACGGTTAACAATATAGCTTATTTTTTGAGATCTTGTAGCCATAGATTAGGTACACATGACAATATGTTATACACAAACTTTTTATTACAGTTTTAGATTTAAATATTAAAAATCTATATGCATTACATTTTTAAAATTCTAATATTGTCAAACGTTTTTGTGCATTATTTTATGACGAGACTCAATAAGTAAAAGTTTCAAATCTTAAGAAATATTATTATACACCAATTGTATTTTTCTGATCTTAATAAAATAAACAGTCAACAGTGTTGTAAGTTTGTAGAACACATAGTGAAGTTTTTATACATAGCCATATAGGTATATAATTGTACGGACGTTTTTGCATTTTAATTAAAAATGAAAATATGCTTGATATTTTAAAAATTCTAATAATATGCATTTAAAATACATAAATAAAATATATTTATACTAAATATTTATATGTTTTTAAAATTAAAATAGGGATATAATTTCTAAATACTGTGCAAATGCTTCAAATTCTGAGATGTATTTATAAATAATGATTTTGTACTTGTAAATAAATGCTGATGTAATGACTGAATGACATTTTTTATACAAAATTATAAATAACTGTCTAACTAATTAAAAGCGTTTGAGCAATAATTACTAGGTTCTAAACCATAATATCATCTATATTCCAGTACTTTTTAATAACTTTATCACCATGTATATAAATGAATGAACATGTAAAAACATATTTCAATTCGATACTAGGATACTTAAATAACATAATGATATCATTTATATTAACAATGTAACAAAAATAATTACTAATGCATAATTAATAAATTTTTTTTTACTACCTATAATTATTAATAATCATCACAGTAATAGTATAAATCAATTTTTAAAATGAATTTATATTTTATATGTCTATACTATTAGGAATAAGTTAGTGAATAATAATTTTCAGTTATAACTGTTGCATCCTGCATATTAAAAGAACTCATTTTTTTGGTTCAACTTAATATAAGTATAGCAATGAGATAATCAATTATAAATTAAGTATAGGTAAATAAATGTACTTTTTAACTTACCAAAAGGCGATACCAGAGTAAGAACGACAATATTTAAAACAATATTTGTCAAAGATGAACACGAAGTCACCAATTTTATGCCAATACAAAATAATATAGTACATTCGTGGATAGAAACAGCTAAAAACAGGAAACCCATATTTTCCATATTTTCTTCCAAGCCAATAGCTAGTCCTTCCATAACAGAATGAAATGATAATGCCAGTACAACTAATAGACTTCTTAAATTATGTACATGTGACATTTCATTATTATTTTGTTCAATTTGGCAATCTGGAGTTCCAGTTCCTTGATCTACACTAACAGAATTAACATCATCAGCAGACTTGACCGCTGTCAACTCACTGTTTGTCCATTGTAATAGTCTGTCACAGTGTCGTGTAGTTTTTGCTTTACTGCGTTTTTTGTGTTTTTTAACAAAATGCTTTACAGACTCTTCAACAAAGTAGACAAGAAAAAAACCCATACAAACAACCAGTTCAGTAAGTGGATAATGATGATAGTCTTCCGGCAAATTTTCAATGAGGCTCTCCCTCACTTCTGGTATCAGATGAGCAAAACAGGTAGCTAGCAACACACCTCCACCCAAACTTAAGCATAATGAAACTAGATACTCCGACTGAAAAATAAAGTTCAAACAATATACACTATGATTTAGTTATTTTAATGAATATTTACTGTTTTTGATGTCAGTGAATCTGTAGATTTGTTGCTTAGCAGTTTTCTGGATACAAGTAATGGGGTGAAACCAAAAATTAGTCTAGAAACTATCGACAAAGCAATGATCAGTGCCTTAGCACTGTACTGATCCATGTTAATCTGTTAATGTATTGTCACCAAAATTGTTCTACTTGTTGTTCGCCTTCGATATCACTTCGAAACAGGCCCAACTCCAGCGGCCACCACCATCGCAGACGAATAGTTTGCGTTACATTTAGACTAAATTCAAATCAATTGTTCACAAAAAAAAAAGATTAACGAACTGCACACACCCGAGTATTCGACCAACGGTGGCAATAAATTTATCAGAACTGTCGACTCTGTCGAGTGTCGGGAAAGTTATACCTACAACAGACTACTACATGTGCAGTTCAAGTGCATGTATGCAACCAATTTACAAACGGATATTAGATACGGGATTCAGTGTTCCTAAAAGATTTAAAAAGGCATTTTCAATGATTGAGGTTATGTCGGAACATTATAACATACACCCAAAGACGATAGCAAGGTTTTCGTTCGCCGTGATTCGCGTCAAGTGGCGATTGCGTGATACAACAACTTCACTACTACAACTACAACCGCGGTCTTGGAAGATAAGGTTGGTCGGACGGACGACTTCTAAAGACCGCGACTATAACAGTACAGACGCAGACAACAGTGAACACGTCTTATTTATATAAAATATATAACAATATGGTTGAGAGTAAAGTTGCGACTTGTGATCGTTTAGTATTTTAGTATTTACTGATACACCTTCATATTTAATGAGAAAAAAGTAGGGCTGATCGGAGATAACATTTTATACCTACCTAGGTAAAAAAAAAGAAGGGATCGGGGCTTGTAAATTTTGGTATTTCTATTGAACTACAACAAAATGTGAGTAAATGATAGTTATAGCTTAATAAAATTGAATTAACATGACGTAACGGCATTCAACAAACTTACTTATTTTACTGCTGTTTTTTTTTTAATGGTTTAAAGTAAACAAAAATTTTCCGAGTTTAATGTTACTATTTTAAGCGTTGCGTAACAAATAGCAATTATATTGGTGCTAAATATATTACGGGGACTGACTACTGAGGAGCGCACAACACATTAATATTTAATATACGGTTACTAAATGCGAAGACGCAATATAAAAATAAAAAATATTGATCGGCGTTCGGCGACAATTTAATTCGATATTTACCAGGATATCGTGCAGATATTGGCAATAGTTACAGGCGTCATGTATACTTGTAAACTCGAAGTCATTAATAGGTCGATTTAATCTTTGCACTAAAAAATAACTACAGTTGATAAATATTAAAATAATTACTAGGACACTAGGTGGTACCTGCTAACAAGTAATAACGTCATAATTATCTTTATTTGCTAGTGAAAAATGAGTAGGCTGGCTTGGCAGTACAAAAAAAAAAATCAAAAAAATATGTGCAATGTTCATAATATTATATTACATATTATTATTAACTATTATGCTATTTATAACAATATAGCGTGTTTAACATCATGTAGGTACATTATTAAGTTATTTAAAACGTTTATAATAAAAATAGCGCTAGTCGTGCACTAAAAATCAAATAATAACATATTTAAAAATCAATTACATAGTAAAAATCGTGTACTTATAATAACATAACTAGTGACCAGTGCGTTTAACGACATGAAATTACAATACCTAATTATATTATGCAATATAAAAATAATTTAAGACATTCCATTCTCAGTAGATTATATTATATTATAAATGTATAAATTATTATATGAATGCCTACGATAAAAAAGTGCTGACTGCCTAGTAATAAATTAAATTATTATATTATACTTAATACTTACACAGACCTATAGTTAATAGTTATATATGTATACTATTTATGTACACTGTACAGGTACCTAAGTATAATAAGACAAAAGTTATTAAAAATCTGTTAATAACCTTTTCCGCCGATCTCAACTTTCAAATTTAGTAAAAGCTAAAAAAGCTCCAATCATTTCCTAAAATATCATATAAGTTTCAAGTTTAATCATTTATAAAACATCATTGTGACAACTGACAAGTGACAACATATTTTTGGGGTGAATACTTTGACATTTTTTTACCCCAGTGATGAGTGATTTAAAAATAGAAAGTAACCGCGGAACTTTGGCAGACAGATTAGATAGTTGAACAGTTAGATAGTGCATTTCTAGTGTACCTCAGTGGCGTCTGCAGGGGGGGCTAACGGGCTGAAGCCCCCCCATTGCCATAGGCGCACATTGGGGGTGCTTGCACCCCCAAACTTCAAACTAGCACCCTCAGTTTATTTCAGTATTTCACCAATCATTTATAAACTATCGTGGTTTATTGGTTCGGAATTTTTCTTTTCATTACAAATATTGACAACTGTTTACGAATTCACGAATTCATTTTTTTTTTTTTTTGTCATCATCTTTTAGGACAGTAAAAGTGCTTGGATTTTCTTCAACAATATCTTTTCTGATAGGAAAGTGAATCTAGTTGGTACTTTGGGGGGGGGAGTCAAAAGCAAAAATTTCACAGTAGTTTTCAAAAGCGCCGTGAAAAACAAAAGAAAAATTAAGGAAAACCGGGAATTTTTACGCAAAATCTGTTTTCGAGAAAATTGATTTTGGTTTTTGGTGTAACTTTAAAACAAATTACCGTAGATATATGAAATTTTCACTGGTTATTTATATTTCCATTTTCTATACATGATAAAATTTTCTAAATATTTTGAGTTATTTTGAGCTTTTTACGGACATTTTTAGTTTCCATTTTTTTTAGTTTTTTTTCTATAAGTATCAATAAAATTTTATTTGTTGGGTATAAAAGCTTAAACATTTAATAGAAGGCTCCTAATAAATTGTTTCAAAGACAGATGAAAAATATTAAAAATCCTTACTCACAGTTTTTTGTTATAAGCATTTAAATTCCAAATATTAACAAAATACTACAAAATGACCAAAATTTGCAAATTATTTCGAGTTAGAAATTCATAAAAATTTTTCTTTTTAAATCTAAGATATGAAAATGTAATGCAAGATTCCTCATAAGTTTGTCTACTTTTATCAAAAAAAAAATGTCTACAAGAATCTCAAATTAAATTTTTATCAACGTTTGAAATTCATATTTTTACAACATTTGATATTCACTCGATTTCTCATGTAACGATTTTCTAATTTTGTTGTGATTAAAAAACGAATGACTGTAGATACTTGAAAATTTTACTAAATTTTTATATTAGCATTTCCTATACACCCCATATATAGTTTTGAAAATATTTTGATTCTTTTTGAGCTATTTACGGACATTTTCAGTTTTCAATTTTTTTAATTTCGTTTTTCTATTCATATCAATAAAATTTTATTTGTATGGTAAAAAAGCTTGAAAATTGAATGCAAAGCTCCTGATATATTGTTACATTAACACTTGAAAATTATTAAAAATATATAGGCACAATTTTTTTTTATAATTATTTAAAATTCAAATTTTGACAAAATTTATCACATTTAAAATTTAATAATATTTTTATAGTTAAAAATTTATAAAATGTTCAACTTTTATAGCTAATGATTGAAAATTTAAAACAAGATTCTACTTAAATAGGTTATATATAAATTGCTTTATTCACCTTAGTATCATCAAATATACTTATAAAAAAAAAATAGTAATATCATAGGCTGACTTAACCGTCTTCGCTCAGAATCGTTTTTCTTATACAATGATGTTAGTATATCATTGAATTCAAATTTAATACCATCGATTATACAGTGACCCACTTGTACCCTACTGTACAGCAGAGCACCTTTTTTTGTTTATCAAACTTAAATAACTTTTATTTTGGTTTTGATATCGGAAATATAAAAACCAAGTTACAGAGTAAATTTTCTCATTTTTCTAGGGTGAACATTTAGTTTTTTAGCTTAGAGTAGAGCCTGAATGTTTTTTTATACCCGTGTAAAACAGTTTTGCCTATGTTGTACCTATACGTCTGTAATACGAAGACAACACATGTGGGTGTACCTAGCGTCTTCTTTACAATCATACAGACTATTTGATACATTGCACTTTAGAAATTATTGTATACACCGTACAAATTAAATCTAATGCAATGCAGAAATATTAGGATTAGGGGGGTGTGGGGGGCTTTGCCCCCCACGGATCTGTGAACCATAAATTATCCCAGCACCCCTTAAATTAACACCTTATGTGCGCCTATGCCCATTGCCCGTATTATTATTACTTTTAAAAAAAAATATTAATCTAATTTAAACTGTCAACTATAGTAAGCAAGACGTAAATTTCATAAATGACTTACCAGAATGAATTCATTTTTGAAAAAACATTGTATTTGCATACCAATTTTCATAAATTATCTGTAATTTTTCGGTAAAAGAATGAACTACTTGTACGAAAGACCTTGTATTAATTTGTCTAGCCTTAGCTGTACATATTTTATATTTTATAAGTTTTGAACTACAAATTAACTGTGGTTAAATCGTTTTGAACTTTAAATGCATATGTATCGTTAATATTTTAGCTATAATAAAAAAACGTACGTATTACATTTTTAAACTTTTCGACCGGATAAATAATTTTTTATTGACATTTATAGAAAAAAAAAATTTAATCAATCAAATACAATCCAAGTGAGGACGGTATAACCAAGCAGGGGCGTATATAGGATTTTCTTGAGGAGGGGGATATCAAAATTTGTTTAGTGCTGTTGCAACTTTTTGTTAGTTACTCCATGTAAGGTATATAATAATAATAAGTGTTGTGTAATGTCACTCACATGTCCACAGGATAACAAAATTATAAATAACAACAGTACTGCAGTAGTTTATACTTTATACATGGAAAAAAATGGGTAAGGGAGGGGATCTATCCCCCATATCCCCCCATAAATACGTCACTGTAACCAAGCTACTATTACCAAACAATTTAAATAAGTTTTCATTTTTTTTTCTCCAATTAGGTACTTTTAAAAGCACTGAGCAGATTCAATTTCGACCTCCTAAAAGTACCAACTAGATCCAATTTTCTTCCAAAAACATACACTGGGCATCGAAGCTTATGATAAGAGCATATTTTC